ATCTCAAACCTCAGAATATTTTGGTCGATACTGAACGAAAGATTGTTAAGCTTGCAGACTTTGGGCTTGCCAGAGCATTTGGCATCCCTGTTCGCGTTTTGACACACGAGGTATCGTTCTATTTGAGTTTTATTTGACCGCCAGATAGTCACGTTGTGGTATCGGTCCCCTGAGATTCTGCTCGGTGCTCAGCGATACTCATGCGGTGTGGATATTTGGTCAATGGGGTGCATCTTTTCAGAGGTTGCAACCAAAGAAGCTTTGTTCAGAGGCGATTCTGAGATCGATCAATTGTTCAGGATATTTCGCTGTCTTGGCACCCCAACCGAAGAGACCTGGAAGGGTGTATCGCAACTTCCTGAATATAAGAAGAAGTCTTTTCCCGCCTGGAAGCGCGCCAAATTGTCAGAGCAAGAAAATATAGCTAACGCTTTCGATAAGGATGGTATTGACTTGCTGCAGGTAACTTAAGCTGAGTTTTGTCGGGGTGACTTGCCGTTTTTGAGTTATGCACATCTTTCTTTTGTATTCCGCCACTGGACAATTGCTTCATTCTGTTCTCGCTTTTTGTCTAATCCCTTATAGCATCGTGTGGATATTCTTAACTTGCTCTGCTTTCATCCATTCCTAGCCAGGATCTTAATTTTAGAGTGTGGCAATAATTTTAATAGGATCTAGTTTACTTATTAATTTGCATGCTTCCAGAAATTAACACTGCTGGTTGCGGGTTGCAGGTGTTTGGTTTTCCGCAACCTTCTCTTACTATAACTCATTTGAGGCCGTTGGAATTCCTCCATCATTGATATTGATCCTCAAGACGCAGGCTCCGCTCGAAGGGTCAAATCCTGATTAAAGTCTCCCCTAACGTTTCCTTAGTTTTTAAAAAATACCTATAACTCACTTTTTACTACATGTTATGGACTACAGTGAAACTAAGTGGGCTGGCGGTTGCTGGAATTTGCCCACCTATGCTCTTGTCTGTCGCCATTTTACCACCCCTAATCGGTTGTTACCTACTTCATGAATCCTCATTTTTGTGCAGTCCCTGACATTGGTTATCTTATACTCGCTTATTTATACTTTTTTATTACGAAGCAAGTACTTAGTTAACATAAGTTGTCAAACCCATCCGAGGATTGTGTTTTGATAGTCTCAAACGGATTCCAAAGAGTTTTAGGTATGTTTAAGCAAATCTTGTCTTCATCAGGTCTTTTAGGCATGGATCAATTTGGTCAGTGCAGGCTCTCGATCCTCGTATTGGGTCGTCTTGCTGCAGGTTATTCACTTCGGCAAATAAAGACGAACTATGTCTTATTTCTCTTGTTTCAGTCCATTTTAGTCAAATTATTCTCCTTCAGAGTTTAGTGGATTCATATTCCCTTATGGGCCTTGATACACTCCGTGTAAATTATCTGTCCGTTTTATTATTTTGGGTTATTCCGTTATGTTTTACTGTTTGCCCCCTGCCATTTTAACGGGCATTTGCTATGCTTGGTTGATTTGGAATTGAATATCTATTTTTAAAAATACTATTTCCTAATTAAGTGCATCGGCTTTCAATCTATATTACAAATCCGCTACCACATGATAGCCAGTATATCGATTGCCTGAACACTTCCTATTTACATCCGCTTTATTGATTCTCGGCTTAGTCGATGCTTGTATACGAGCCTGCGCGTCGTATCAATGCCCGCGATGCCCTTCTTCATCCTTACTTCTCAGATCTAGACAAGTCGATTGTGCCAGCTGCAGGAGAAGAATATGTTGGACTTCCGCTGCATCAGCTACCAAACGAGGTGGCCCGACTCTTCATTGAAAAGGCGAATGAAACTCTTCAGATCGGCAGTGCCTTGACTCATCGCGCCGGCGTAGGCGGGGACGAGAACTTGCCAATCCGCCAGTCACTTGCTGGTACCGGACCTGGGAAGCTTGGGCAAAGCACTAGCAAATTATCTATAGATGAGAAAACTCTCACGGCTGGCGCCAACGCTCTGCCAACTGCTTTGGCTCGTACACAGCCTGGGCACCCCCTTCTACTGGCCATCGATCAGGTGGCTCTGCCAACCTCACTTGCAGGAGATGCAAGCGCTATGGCCACCTCTCGGCCCCTTTGCGAATCAAGCGAGGTCAATATGTCTATTAGCTAACTAAAAGACTTATCCTCCTGCACCTGTTTATTCCACATTTATGACCCCTGATTCTTTCCTGTGTTGAATATCCCCATCCAGCCTTGTTCTCTTGGCTCTGCTTAACTGTTATGCATGCATATTTCTGCGCGAAACCTGTTTCTATAGTTTCAATTTTCCTATTTTTATATTCTTATGATTGATACCATCCTTACTTCATATGATTTTAATATTCTACCACATTGGTATTTTTCGAGGTTTTGTTTACACAGCTGATAAATAATGG